TATTACTCGCATGGACTTCCAAATACTCTATGGGGCCTACTTCAGACCGCTCCTGGAGTACGCCAACCAAGTTGTCTACTCAGGGCGTACAAAAGACGTTACCCTCATTGAGCGTTCCCAGCGGGCCGCCACGAGAATGGTTGCTGGCCTCAAATCCGTGGACTACGAAACCCGTCTCGCGATGCTTGATCTCTTTCCCCTGGAGTACCGTCGCCTCCGAGGGGACCTAATTCTTACTTACGCCCTGTTTGAACAAAGCTTGGCAAACAGGTTTTTTACCGTTGACCCAGCAAACACCCGGCGAGGACATAGTAAGAAAATTTTCTCGTAACGCTACCAAATCTCAACACATGGTTTTATAGCGCACTAAGAAAGCTCCATACCATCCCAGACGATTGCCTTCGTACCTTTTTGGCGCCGCATCACCCGCTAAGCAGTAGTCGATAATTCAACCCTAGGCCGTCGTTCAGCACTTGTGGCTAGAAATGACGATTGGATCCCAATGCTCCGGGAGGAAATGGTATAAGGTCGCGGAGCCTGTACCTGTGAAGAGTTGAAAATGTATGTCTGATCGTGAAAGGTTGCCGTATATTATGGGCACTGAGGCATGACTTCTCATGCTAAGGAGCTGATACGTTGAAGATATTCATTTCGAACTTCATGCGCCGATTTCAAAAAATGATGCACTGGCGTTCTCTCCAGTCTGTGAAACCGAGTGTACACAAGCCCTTGGTACCAGCTTGCGTAGACCATCCACACTAACCAATATTTTTGTTGGGTGCTGTCGGTGCTACCCACCTTCCAGGATGGGGACCGCGTGATCCTCACTGTGCCTGGTTGGAGACACTACAAGATATGGCTGCCAACCGATGTCAGTGGCGTTCTTGTTGTCAGTTTCTGTCCAGATTGCCTGAGTGAATGTCTGGAGGTGTAGGCACCTCGGAATGATTGTGGTAAGCTAGCACTAAGTCCCTCCCCCGTCCACCTTTCAGTCAAATAAGTCATGGTTGTACGGCAGTGAAGCATTGGTGTTGAGCACTGATGTCATGCTGTCGTTGATGATGATGATGATGATGATGGGACCTGCGTACATTTGAGTGCAAAGGGATACGCGTAGACCTGGCTTTTATCTTCAAAGTCGTTCGCACAAATTTGTGCGACTTAAGTCACGCCTTAAGAAAGGCATGATAGTACACTGATTCAAACGGGAAAAGTCACAATTGCGGAACGACAATCCTTTATTTTCTGTCTCCACGTGATCCAGGTATTCATGGGACAAATTATCACACAGCGTCCACACGACACCTTTGGCCACTGCATCTAAAAGTGCAACCGCGAAATATCATTGATACAAGTTAGGTTCCAAGCAACACCAAGAGACATGTATCATTGGATTCCGTAGCCCATTGATCTTAACGGATACCTCACAAGATCAAGCTGACACGAGAGGATCTCCTGCTCTCACCAGCCTAGACATGAAACTGAGCCCAGTGTAACATGGTGAACAAGGGATCAATACATAGTTTAATGGACTCGCGGAGCCAAATGAAGTGTTTCCGATCATTTCCGGAAGCATTGATGACTTTGGCGCCAGATGTCAATTATCACACTCACGGACGCTGAGGATACATGCATATATATATATATATATATATAAAGTGGGTGGTTTCTCGATAGATAGCATTTTGGCACCACATCATTGATCCAACCAGTCGGCTTGGATGCAAGCATTTTCTCTTTGCAGACGCATAAATGCCGGGTTGGAAAAACTACTGAAAATATCTGCAGCTTGAGCCCAACAAAGTCTCAGGCTTAGCTAAGATCTAAAACCTCCGAAATGCGTCTAAGAAATGCGCGGCGGACTACACGGCTAGCAAGTCCGTCGGAGGGTCGTTACCCTTTGCAGTGGAGCGCCAGCTTGTTATATCATCAGGGGCTACAGGTCCAGGAATTTTTGTACCTCAAAAGTGTGAAAGTACAATCGTTGTTTCACCTAGCAGCGAGAAATGTCTGTGAGGCCTTATTTAAATTCAAAGCAACAACTCAGTTGGATTTACTCATCTCTAATGCACATACATGACGTCGCTTAGAATGCTGCCAATACCATGCCTCAAGGGAGGCTCTAGAACTGCAGAGGATATGCAGCGTCATACGGGGAAACTGATAAGCAGTGTCTACCTGATGCAGAAAAACTAAGATGGTTGAAGTTGCAATGTCCAATAAAGCTGCTGAGAGGGCTTTTGGTACCTGCTTACCAGCGTTTGTGGCAAGGTTCATTGTCACAAGGTACGTTCCAACTCAGAAGATCGAGTGCTCACTGAGTACCAGCAGATTACGAGGTCAGAAATCCATGAGAACTTCAGCAGCATGGTTATGTACGTTCGTAATAAATTGAAGAAGCGCAGTCGAAGAGAACCACGGACTCATCTCGATTCATTTCTGAAAACTAATTCACGATCCGATTTCGAGGCGCTGACTGCACAACTGACTCCAAAGTTTTTTGAACTTGCATCAAAATTCTCTTTGGACATTATACACCGATAGTTTCCTCCCTTCTTCATCTGCTCAACGTGGATTGGATGGGGATGACGCTAATGAGTACGTGAATGTATTCCTAGCATTCGGATGACTGGCCACATCTGAACTACTCTATTTCATCATCATCATCATCATTGTCAGCTGTAAGAACCGCGTACTTGTCGTACGGTGGTTGTAGCTGCCACAGTTTCGTTCACCAATGATTGGGGGGGTAGTTAGCTGCGTATTGCACGCGCGAGCTGGTAAATTGGTGCATAAATCTAGCACTGTCAGTGGGTTGTCAAGCGTGGGGGGGTGGAAAAGGAGCTATGCATTGAAGGCAATAGCTTTGATGCATGAGCGCCATTGAGGGCGCGACTGGGCCATGTCTGATAATGTCTCTAGCCATTGATGTGGCCCGTCTCGTGGTCCCCATCCAGGAAGACGGCAGTGACCAGCGCATCTGAGTTTGCTGTATGGTGGTAGGTTATATGCACTGGCCGGAATGCACCTTGTTCAAAAGACACAAGCACTTCTGCACTCCGGCAAGAAGCAAGCGTGGCTATCAATCAATCAGCCAATCAGTTCCCTGTGTTTCAGTTTGACTATTTCTTCCTCTCTTCTTTCGTTCATTTCATTTTGGCGTAAAGTTTCTATTCCTTTCTTCACCGGCTACCACACTTATGATGCCGCTATGATCGATGAGCCTTCTAGTACAAGAACTGCAGGGCTTCTTGGGCGTGAACAGTGCTTTCATTGTCGGACTGAACTAAAATGAGTTGAAAAAGTACAATGAATCGGAAAGCATTTTTGTTGGCCTTCAGACGAGCCACGAGTACATATTTATTACTACTAAGTAGCAAAGTAAGAATTGAGTTAATAACCAATACAAGGATAATAAGGGAAGCAAAGCCTAGGGGGGTTGGAAAAGGAGCTATGCATTGAAGGCAATAGCTTTGATGCATGAGCGCCATTGAGGGCGCGACTGGGCCATGTCTGATAATGTCTCTAGCCATTGATGTGGCCCGTCTCGTGGTCCCCATCCAGGAAGACGGCAGTGACCAGCGCATCTGAGTTTGCTGTATGGTGGTAGGTTATATGCACTGGCCGGAATGCACCTTGTTCAAAAGACACAAGCACTTCTGCACTCCGGCAAGAAGCAAGCGTGGCTATCAATCAATCAGCCAATCAGTTCCCTGTGTTTCAGTTTGACTATTTCTTCCTCTCTTCTTTCGTTCATTTCATTTTGGCGTAAAGTTTCTATTCCTTTCTTCACCGGCTACCACACTTATGATGCCGCTATGATCGATGAGCCTTCTAGTACAAGAACTGCAGGGCTTCTTGGGCGTGAACAGTGCTTTCATTGTCGGACTGAACTAAAATGAGTTGAAAAAGTACAATGAATCGGAAAGCATTTTTGTTGGCCTTCAGACGAGCCACGAGTACATATTTATTACTACTAAGTAGCAAAGTAAGAATTGAGTTAATAACCAATACAAGGATAATAAGGGAAGCAAAGCCTAGGAAACTGACTGCAGTAAACCCAGACATATTCCCAAGTTCAACTGTCATGCCAGGAACGGCGGTAACGACGTTAGCGTCACCACTGGCCAGGCTCCATAATCGATCACTAGCGAGACAATTTGTACCAAACGGCTGAAAGTTGGCAGTTATATTCTTTGTGCATAGACGAACTGGAAAAGACCTGACAGGGAATCAGGGACCAACAATTTGACAACCTCATGATATGTGCTAACCACTCCACGGCCTACCAGAGCATATGGGAATACTTGCCAAATTAAAAGCCTACAAGTCTCCTATGGTAATTATGGAACTCAATCTGCCTTATAGATTTTGAAAAATTAGGGGTAGTTAGTGGATAAAAACCCCGCCTGATTTTGGAGTCCATACTTGCTCCGGGAGCGTTTTACACAAGAGTTGACACTAACAGGATCAACAAACGCATGTGTTCTCAGTATTCCATGAAAATCCTACTCTGTCGCCCTCACCAAGGCAGTAGCGTAAAGAAAAGTAAAATCTCCAGAAACGTCCCTTCCTTCAAGAAATTTCCGAGGTGGAGGTTGTTATGAAGAGGGGTTCCTGTGCAATGCATCTTTCTTAAAAGAGATTGTTGATCGTACGATTCACCCGGATGCGCAGTCTCTAGAGGATAACGGTTCGAAAAACGTTCTTAAATTGTATAGTTGAGGTTAACGGTCAACAGCGTTTTAATGCAGCATCGATGAACGAAACTTTGTCAGCTGCGACCACCGTACGACAAGTGCACGGTTTTTACAGCTGTGATAATGCTGATGATGATCATGACGATCACAGTCCGACTGATCCCGACCAGCCTCTAGATTTTCACTTGTCACCCTGTCAGCAAGCACTGATTAAATCATAGCTGAGCAGAGCAAATAGGCTTTTCCCGGTAGGACACACCCAAACCCGCACTGACAACCTCCACTCGATTGGTGGGGAAAGTTTGCAATCTAACTACCAAGCTCAGTAAACAGACCAAACATCAAGCAGCACATCCTGTATTCTGCAACATCGCTCAACTGTGACTGTGGTAATAGACTAGCTCACATTGAATCTTAACAGTCTATGTCGTCGGTGTACTACCTTTAGCAATGTTTCAAATCAGTCTTGGACGAACAAATTCAGCTCCAAATTTTACAAGGTTTAGGAACATATCGGTTAGAAGTGAGCACTAGGAGTGGAGTCACAACAGTGCTAGGATAATGCTATCGCTCAATACGGAACGGACGCTTGTACTCCGTTCTTTTGGGCGAGATGGCCCAAGTGGTTAGAGCGCGAATTTACTGACCGGAAGGTTCGTGGTTCGAATCCGACCTCCGCCACCCGACTTCCCCTGTCTAGGCCTGGTCAACCTGGCAGTATCCCAGCCCTCGTGCTTCCTTCGTGTGGCATGGCAGCTAGCCACCGGAAGGGTGCTACAGCTGAACGCTTTCTTTCTTTTCTTTCTCCGTTCTTTTCGACAAGTCACACATGGTGTTGAGACATTTGGATAGTGCCCGATGAAACTGTGGATAATCGCCGATGCACACACCGGCAAAAGCACCTGGATGTCATTAATTGTCTTGAATTCGGATGTCGCTCCATAATTATGGACGTGCGATTCTTGAATTATCGCCCACACCATCATCATCATCATTGTCAGCTGTGAAAAACACGTAAATGTCGTACAGTGGTTGTAGCTGTCTCGTGAGTCAAACTGTTAAGTAAGGAGCTAGGGGGCAGAGTCCCTGAACAAAATCCTACATCCTCGTACTTCCCTGTGGGTCAGATTTTGAGTCAAAGGCTCAAGTAGGGGCACCTCAACCAAACCCCATCCCTCGGCCTAGGCAACCGGAAAGTATCAATTAACCGCTCAGTTCAGTGCCCACCGATGTCCCCGCCCAACTACTTCCCACCACACAAGCAAACGTCACTGGATCACTTGACTGTCAGTTATCGGACCAAAGGGCCTTATGCTCCTCGCTGCCCATTAACAGTAAAAAAAATTGCGCCCTTCTAAGTCCACGAGACCTTCCATACCAAAGTTAAACATTCAGAATGATTTGATTTCTTCTGTCCAAACTCCGGTTAGGCAATTAGTTGCAGCGAAAGTGACCGGTCCCAGTAAAGCAACTCAAACATTTATGCTCTTTAATCATCACTTGTAAAATTCACAGGCTTACGGCCTCTGTGAGGATCGTGAAAAGTTGTAGCAGTCGGATTCTTGATGTGAAAAACCAAACGGAAACCGGTTGAAAACAATTAATTCGTTTACTCAGCAAATACATCTGGAACTATTGTGTTCACGAATGCAGGATGTAATATTAAAGGGACGTTGGCGACATTGCACCGGTGGTAGAAATTAATGGTTAACTCTCATAAACCCATGCAGAAGCACCGCCAAAGAGTAAAAAGAACGGAGTTAGGACGAACACCCCAATCGTAGGGCTGCTGGAGAACCTTCGACATCCCACGCCCCGTTCCGCTCCGAGTTTCCGTTAACTTTATATTCTACTCTAGTTCCACGAAATCCAAAAATACGCCTATCAAATGTATTGCTATATCTCGGATATCGTACCTACTAATACATGAGGTGACATGGTGTAGCACTTTCAGTTGAGGAAGAACATCATAAAAGGAAGACTCAGCTAGGTTTCAGGTGAGATTCCCGTTAAAACCAAATTGGCATGCAAATGAGTGCATCTGTCGAACGGAGTTAGGACTTATGTAATGAAAATCCTACGTACCTAGGGAAAATGGCCAAGAGTTGAGAGAAAGTCACCTAGGCTTGTGAATGCGAGGGCTCACATTTGATTGGAACAGATAGCGTGGACATAGCTATTTCGATTATCTTGAAGTGTTTTGAACCACTAGCACGTACTGCGGTGGTCTTCCAGCCGGCACATAATTTGATCGTAAAAATTAACGTGGCTTTTGTCTCTTTTCAGACTTTGTCAGGTAATTTTATAAAGCACCAAGAGTGATTGTTCAGAAACGATGATTTTATCACGTACTAAACCAGCATCTCAGAAGGTCAGTGCAGTTCACGTCCCAACGACAGCTGTGAGAAAGGAGATTCCGAAACTTGAGGACTTTTTGAGTAGGAGGGACTATACTGGAGCACTGACACTGTTAGAATTCGAACGCAGTTGTAGCAACTCTACCTTAGAGACCGACTTGTGGATCGCCTACGCAGCATTTCACTTGGGAGACTATAAGCGTGCAGCAGACGAATATAAGAAAATACTTTCTCGTAAAGATGCTCCGGATGAAGTTTCCATCTACCTTGCATGTTGTTATTTCTTCCTCGGAATGTATCAAGAGGCTATGGCACATGCCAAAGAAGGTCCATCCTGTAGGCTGCAAAATCGTGTGCTGTTTCACGTGGCACATAAATTCAGTGATGAACGTTTGTTGCTAAACTACCATAACTCCTTGGCCGACGTGTTGGAAGATCAACTTTCCTTGGCATCCATCCACTGTCTACGTAGCCACCATCAGGAGGCGATCGACATCTATAAACGAATCCTGTTGGACAACCGTGAATATCTGGCACTCAATGTGAATATTGCGTTATGTTACTATAAAATCGATTACTTTGACATCTCACAGGAAGTGCTTGGAATCTATTTGCAAAAGTATCCAGACAGTGCCACAGCAATTAATCTAAAAGCTTGTATTAACTTCCGACTGTTTAATGGGAAGGCGGCCGAAGCAGAACTGAAAGCATTGCAAGAAATGGCCTCGCCATCGTTTACATACGCCCGTGATTTGATCAGGCACAACCTGGTGGTATTTCGCAATGGGGAAGGAGCGCTTCAGGTGAGTCAATAAGCTATCTGGCCTTAAGGTGCTAACTTAATGCCACCAAGGTAGTCTGGTGTAGCGGAATATTGAAAACGAGTTTTCGGTTGTGCAATGGGTATTTCTATTGAAGAGTGTCTAGTTCGAGAGGCTGCGTCAGTTAGACCATGTGATGCGCTTGCCGAAAAGGGTACCTTCTCTTTTCCTAATTCAGAGTGGCGGAAACAGAGGTGGCCAACCCTGGCGTAGGCGTATGAGAGAGCTTACGAAACGTTTGGATGTTGTCCGTGCTACTCGCCTTCCAATATGTGGGCCGCATGAACCCCACTGCGTCTGGTTGGAAACGCTGCAAAATATGGATGATGGCCAATATCATTGGCGCTCTTGTTGTCAGTTTCTGTTCAGATTGCCTGATTGAGTGTCTGTCGCTCTAGACACTTCGGAATGCTTGTAGTAAGCTAGCACTAGGTCCCTTCCCCTTACTAACATACCATTTACATGAACCTTTCTTTAAATCTGTTTCGTGTTTCTTTGTATCAGATACTACCACCTCTACTGGATGTCCTCCCAGAGGCTAGGCTTAATCTGGTGATCTATCATTTGAAAAACGAAGAAATTCACGAGGCTTTCGAGCTCATAAAAGATATGGAACCGAGCACACCACAAGAGTATGTCCTTAAGGGAGTAGTTCACGCTATCCTGGGTCAAGATCAAGGCTCTCGAGAACACTTGAAACTGGCTCAACAATACTTCCAGCTTGTGGGTGGATCAGCAAGCGAATGCGATACCATCTCCGGGCGCCAATGTATGGCATCCTGCTTCTTCCTTCTGCGCCAGTTTGATGATGTGCTCATATACCTGAACTCGATAAAGAGTTACTTTTACAACGACGACACTTTCAACTACAACTACGCACAAGCCAAAGCCGCGATTGGGGCGTACAAAGAGGCCCAGGAAATATTTTCCCTAATCCAGTCTGAGCGTCTACGTTCAGAATACACCTATTTGAGCTGGCTCGCTCGTTGCTATATCATGAACAAGCAAGGTCGCTTGGCGTGGGAACTCTACCTGAAAATGGAGACATCCACAGAGTCGTTCAGTTTGTTGCAGCTGATTGCAAATGACTGTTACAAGATGGCACAGTTCTACTACGCAGCTAAGGCGTTCGATGTCCTCGAACGACTGGATCAAAATCCCGAGTACTGGGAAGGAAAGCGTGGGGCGTGTGTAGGCGAGTTTCAACTCATTATTGATGGTCAAGAACCGAAAGAACGCTTGAGGGAAATAATCCAAATCCTTCGGAATACAAACAACCCGCAAACGGAGTACTTCATCCGAATAATGAAAAAATGGGCCAAAGAAAACCGAGTACCAGTTTAAATGAACTGTTGTTCGTTAGCCTGAGATACATTTTGTTGAATCAGACACGAAATGCATTTAATTACATCTTTGTTGAATTTTCACAACAAAAAACTCTGAGTTACCCCAGTAATGTAGGTTAGGGATGAATCTCTCGCATAGCAGCGAAGTTCCAATGTTGAGCAGGATTTCGAGAGGTGAGGTATTCGGACTAAATCTTCCACGAGCTTACACTCGCTAGTTTACCAGCTGTCCAAAAAGAAACCAACAGATCAGAAGCCTTTAGCGCAGATTACCTATTTCGGAAACTACCTGAGGTCACATGCACAGGGACCACTACTGAGAATCACACTTTGCGTGCTACTCGTTATGCAGAAGATACAGAAGCTCCTCGATTTTCTGCCTGTCCCATTCTATCACAGTAATCTAAGCACTTCGTCTGTATACACTCATCTGCAAACTAATTTGGTTCTTTCGAGAGACTCACCTGGAACCCAGCTAAATCTCTCGTTTATGATGTTCTCAGGCAACTGAATGTGCTGCACCAGGCCGCCTCATGTTTCAGTCGCTACGATATTTGAAATATCGCGA